CCTTCCAGTTGGCTAGTTCCTGGAACTCGATAATCTTGATGATGCCTCCCATTAAAATCCCTGGAAAGAAAGAGAAAAAAACAAAACAATATCACCGTTTAAATATTATACTACTTCATATGGACATTTCAATAAATACAGAACACAGATAGAGTGCAAACCTGAGGGAAAGTGCTATCTTAGTGGTTAAAACAAATGGATGTCTGGCAAATGACCACCATAGTTCAGAGATAAATTAGATACAAAGGGCTATAGTCTTAGTTTTTGTCTTTGAGAGACTCCCCTCGGGCCTTCAGCTCTCCTCTTACACGGCCCAGCAGAACATTAATTAAAAGGGTGGGAAAAACACAAAGATGTGTAAAGGGCAGAGAAAAAGAGAGAGACAAGATTTTGAAATTAAGTACAAGCATCAAAGCTCTGTGTAAGACCTAGATTTACAGATGTTGGAACGAGCTAGCGCAGGGGAAGACACTGACAATGACTAGATGAGAAAGAGGAAGTTATGAGGAAGGAAAAGTAGTCCTTCCTGATTTGTAAGCAGAGTGTTATCTCTCTTCAGCAGAGTCCCCTGCTCCAAACACTGAGGGGTGCTCTGTCTCATGTGCAGCATTCAGGGCATGCAAGAGGAAAAGACCTTCAGGGTCAAGACAGATGTGTGTCACTGAGTTTGAGTGAGTGTAACTGCACAAACATGTGAAGAGGGCAAAAATGGAGGGGTTTTGTAGAAGTAGAGTTATCCTCATGTGACCTCACAAAAAAAACTTTATCTCTGTATCTCTGAGTACTTCCTAAATCCTTTCTCGTTCTAAAATACACATTTGATTTAGATAAAAACTATTTTTCTACTATAACCTCACAAAGCTCTAGAAGATAAACACAAACAGTCAGTAATGTTAGGAATCAACTATGCCATACAGTGTGGTTCAGAAAGAAAACACAAGGAAGAGAACTCTTAAGTACAGAAACATTTTACACTCCTCTATTCAGCCTGCACCGAGTTATGCTTATGTAAGACGTACTTACCAAGGGACACAACAGCCACACTCTCTGGAAGAAAATGCAGCTTGAATTTGATAAGCAGGTGCACCAATATGATGCAGATACCTGGGGAGAGCAAAATACAACCGAGTGAATATTTGGGACAAATACATCCATGTCTGCACTGCCACATGTCACACTTACTAAGATCAGCCCAAAAATAGTCCCCACATCATGTAGTGTTAAGATCTGGTCAAGGATGTTTTTGCAAAAAAATACAAATCTACTTGCTTGACATAAATATGAATACAATGCAGTGATTTGACATCAAAATTTAATTTGTGAAACGGTGCATTGAAGAATAATTTCCCAATTCAAAAAATAAAAATAACTTCTGACAGTAGCGAAGGCAACCATGTATATCAATGTGCTACATCCAGGTTTATGCATATTAGCATAATTATGATGACAACCCCAAAGGCCACAATGAAGTAAAGTAAAAGGCAATTCATAGATATGGTAAAAAATGCACTGCAGCAAATTAGATAATCATAAGACACTGTGTGTCAACAAGAGAGCTAGCAAAGGTCAGTCCATCAAAAATAGAATTTACACCCACAGGGGAAAATAAACATCACAGGAATTTAAGACTTTACTTTACTTTACTCTGAAACTGTTTATCAGTCAAACCACTTGTGAGTTTGCATTAAAGTCAAAAGAAAATATGATTTCTAGCATGTTGTGCTTCTCAAAATCAATCAATTGTTTGTCATGATGAACTATTTGGTCCAAGAGAAAACACCATGTTTGTTTAGTTAGGAACAATAGGCATGATTTATGTATAATTAGTTTGTAACCCTATGCATGATTTATGCCACTTCCTATAAACAGTGGCAAGCTCTTAACCTGTAGTGAGCTAACTGGCCTAATGGCCACTTTGTGTGCCTAAACAAGCATTTCTTTACCTCACACATATTACTGTGGAACCACATCCTCTCCTTTGTCTACTTCCTCATCCTGGATCATCCACACTTAATTTAGTAAAAATGGCTTTACATTTGCCGTCTATTATTGTTTGCATCAAGTCTAAGTTGTGAATTTTATGTAAACCACATTTAAAATGAGCATAACAGATTTGAAAAAAACCCCAAAAAAGAGTCAGGTGGATATTCAGCAACAAATTAACAGAGAGTCTACCTACCAATAACCAGCAGGCTGAAGAATATGGTCAAACCATTGGACTGCTCTTCTTCTTGGGCCTTGACCCCCGTCTGCACAGGCAGAATGGGTTTGGGGGTTGGAGGAGCTGGGGTCGTCGGCTTGACAGTAGTGTGGAGGGTCTCATTGCTGTAGTTGTCAGTGTCATTAGACCTGTAGTGAGAGGGAATGTGAGGCTGAATAGTTGTTTGTCATTCATGACTTAAATCACATATACAACTTATTTTAATTGTCATGAGCAGATTGATGAGTAGATTTTGTTTGGCTTGGTTTATGGGTGTTTAAATAGTATATTATACTTGTGAGGTGGTGTGTGTATATTTATATGATTTCCAATATCTGGCTATTCAGAGTTATGAGGTCATTCCTTCCTGCAGCAGTAAGACTATACAACCAGCTCTGCTCCTTGTAAAAATATTCACCACAATTATTATGGACTGCACTTTAACGCTCTCACCTGTGCTATATTCTATATCTGTCTGTCTGTGCAGTATTAACGGTTCATGTGCACTGTACATGTTCTCACACTGCATGCATTTCTTCCTGCTTTGCACTGTACATACTAGATTAATTCCATTGATATATTTTCTAGATGTCTATATATTTTTATATTCCTTTCCCTTAAGTACTTGTAACTTGCTGATGTCTTTTTGACTCTTGCTGCTGTAATACTGCGTAGTTTCCCATTGAGGTGATAATAAAGGACCTCTTATCTTATCTAATCTTATATTCTTATTTACATGATGTCAATTTAATGTGCAGTTAGATTCTGGCAGGTTTACACGAGGGGATGTTTGAATTGTTGTTGATTCATATATAAAGCATTACAGTTTTTGCTATAGTACATGTTAGGATAAATATATACAATATTTATTTCGCTATATCAAATGGAAATCATCAGTCAGCTGATATCACGCAGGTTTGTGATTGGACTGCAGTACACCGGATATACTAATGAAGCTATTAGCTAGCTAGCTTCACTGTGCTAATAGTGTTAGCTGTGTCAGACCTGACAGACTGTCCGTCCTCCTGTGGGAGGTTTGGATCGGCTCCATCTTTTTGCTCGTGTTTCGCAGGAGTTTGCCGGTTTTCAGTGATAACTTGTTTCACGTCAGCTCCGTCATCATCTCTGTGGTGCAGGTCCAGAGGGTTTTCTCTCTCGGCTCGCACTGGCTCGCACTGGTTCACGAACAACAACACCACGGACAGCAACAAGACTTTATGGCGGACGCCACTCATCCTCAAAACAGTCCGTTTGTAGCACGAACCCGCAGCGTTTTGTTGTAAAATATCACTGACAGCTTCATGTCGACGTCTCCGTGTATCTGTCGACATCACCGCTCCACTTCCTGGTGAAAGTGGCGTTGGGAGTTGTAGTTTCGACGCAACGTGTCCAGCGTCGAGGAGCAGCGCAGAAACAAACATTCGCTGTTTGTTGCCGCTGATCGGTTCAAAATGTGTGTTTGTTATAATTGCAGCGCTTAAATTGTAAACTGTTCAACTTTTCAGATAAAATTTTAATATTCACAACACCTCCTGTCCTCGATTTCCCATCAGGCACTGCAGTGTGTAGTCAGCCTCCCGCCCGCTGTTTTATGGATGTTGTAGTTTTATCTTAGCCTGCGTTAACCACAGAGCACCTGCACATGTATGAAAACTACACGTCACCTTGTAACGAGTCACATTTTGTTGGACGCAAATTGAAAATTATAATAGATAGGAATATTATAAGTACAATAAAAACAAATAATTACCATGACCCCTTATAAACTATATTCATATATTTACAATAATAATTAATATTTATATTTTTGGGGTGGGGGCCCACAGCACTATAGTTTCCTAAGGCCACTAAAAAAATGTATACAAATTTTAATATAAAGTGTTTAATGACACTCAATGTAACGACCTCTGATATTTAGATCTAAAGCTGTATTTAGATCTAAATTAGTTGGTTTTGACATGATTGTTTTAATTAGTCTTTAAATAGACCTGAGGCAGCAGAAACTAAACAAAATGTGAAGTAGAGCTCTACAGGTTTTAAGTAGAACAGAACATTTAAAACCCTAATCCTCTTATGATGACAACATAAATACATATTGTGCCTCCATTAATAACACATGCCACTTATGTATTAAAGCACATCAGAGCCAGCCTATTTCAGGTCATTACTATCAAGCCTAGTGTCTAGTTTATGTGGTAAAACTCAAGTCAAATCAAAGTCAACTTTATTGTCAATTCTGCCATATTCAATTCAATTCAATTTTATTTGTTTAGCGCCAAATCATAATATACATTATCTCAAGGCACTTTACATAGACTTTACATGTACAGAATTGAAATGGCTATTTTGCTCTGATCCCCAGTGTAAACGTATAAGTAGACAGAACATATAAGTATGCGACATAATAAGTACTCAAAAAATGGAACACAGTATATGACATACTATGCAGTCGTAAGGGACACAGTGGCACAATTACTATAGTAATCTTATAAATACTGGTGCATCAATCAATGGAGTATATTATTATATGAATCAGATCAGGCTAATTAGCATCACTATGAATGGAGTGCACTTGGACTGGTTTTACTAACCCAGAATTCATGCTAATGTTTTCATATGTCCACATTAACACGTATTAACTCTCAGCTATGATTTTCTTTCTTCGTAAATGTTTTGCACGCAACAACGCTACGCAGACGGGCTGTCACTCTCACTGCGTTGCTACGAAACCTCGGTCGCCAGGTTACGCTGTTGAGAGCGCGTACGTTTTTTTTTATTTTTGGTGAATACCGTTGACGCCCACTCGAAGTATTGCTCATTTTGCGGAGGGGCAGTTCCATTCATAGGGCTGAAAGGCAGGCAGGCAGACGGGCGTAGCGGCCGAGCACCCGACAGCGACGTGTCTGAGCTAAATGATGGTGTCTCACTGACGAAAAACCCAAAAAAATAACCAGGCCAGGTTCCGACCGCGCTGCTGTCACCGCCCGCCGTCTCCACACCGGACGTACGCCTCGCCAGAGCCAAATCCGAAGCCGCCCTCTCGGAAATGGTTTCTGCGTCGTCTTGATTGAAGACTGGAGGTGATATTCTCTTCGACCTGTCGCGGAAATAAGCGGACTTCCTGGTCGACTGCTTTGCTCGCGGTTGCCGCAGACAGACCGCCTCCACTCGGCTCATTCAACCGGGAGAGTCCGCACACCGTCGGCCCCCACCGACATCTGGACATAACCGCTCCATCGTCGTCGCTGATAACGCAAAAAAAAACGTGCCCGTGTGTTTGCCGCTGCTTGCCTGTATGATGCCGACACATCTGCGGTTCCGGAGAAGGTCATTTGGGCTCATTTTCCTCTTTTCGTTGTCCACCACCGCATTGTACTTCATCTACTCCGCCCCCGGAATCGGTGAGTCCCCGTCAAATGTGGTGGTGTTATTTGAAATACTCGGAGGTTTGGGCTGTGTAACGCTGTTTGTATGGGCCGTTAGGTCATGTGTGATGGGGGCCATGCGCCTTTCCTGAGCCCCGATCGCTCCCGATCGATGATGTGACTGAGCTGGAAGCTGGAGCTCAGTCCTCAGATATCCATGTACCTGACAATGCTAATAATAATAGCGACTATAATGAGCATCATGGCGACTGTAATCACACTGATGTTAGCAGGCCTGAGTGCTATGATTATAAAGCATATAGCTGAGGCCACGGGGAGGAGGAAATATGCTACGATGGATTTGATTTTGGGCTCATCATTAGCCATGCTGACCCATGTGCATGTAACACGCCTCACCCTGTCTGTGTGACTGTGTTTCTGTCCTGTCAGAGGTCACGTTATGACTCATGGATTCATAAGGGTTGTAGTGAAACCTGAGCAGAGAAATGACAAATCATTCCCTGCACCATCTGCTGCCTGTAAGTTGCATGCATTTGTGTAATATCATGTACTGAATCCCTGCTATCAATAATTCATCAATGTGGCTCTCCCTCCCTCCCCTGTCGCTCATTGTGTGTGTGTGTGTGTGTGTGTGTGTGTGTGTGTGTGTGTGTGTGTGTGTGTGTGTGTGTGTGTGTGTGTGTGGACACCTCAGCCTTCTCTCACCCCATCCTCTCTTGGAGGCCCTCCAGCTCAGGCCTTGGTCCACTCTTCCTGTATCAGCCTGGATACATGAGGGCAATAATTCATGCTGTGTTATCTCCCATGTGATGCCCAAACACTGGCACTTTATTGCAGCAAAACAAGAAGAGCTTATCTCCATGAATAGCACTAATGACTATTGTAAAACTTGGACTTTCGTCAGGTTCTGTCCTTGACTCTGTGCCATCTAGATGCATTGATTTTCCACTGTGTGGATTTGAGAATATTGGTCATGTCCAAACACAATAAGACAGTTGCTTACATATTTATATCTGTATATGTATTTATTTTTGTGGTAATGAAGAAGGAAGTTTACAAACACATGTTTGCAGAAACACTGACATACAGTTGAAAATTGGCCACTACAACCTTTTTCCTTTCTTACTACTTCATCACCATTGTCGGGTATATCCTGTTGTGCTGGCTGAAAATTATTGTCGAGGTCGGGCTTCCTTGCATCCTGCTTTAAGCCCTATCTGCTATCTCCCTTAACAACATGCATTTAAAGACGGCATGGATCAAGTCTGAGGCAAATACACTAACAGCCCATGTCAAGTTGTCAGAAGCAAGACAGAAACATTTTATTTTCTAACAATAAGTAAAGTATTTACAGCCAATAATGAGAGCCTGTCATTGTTGAAACAGATGGTGTCTGTGCGAGTGAAATAGTGTTTTATGTCACACAAGTGCAGCCTTTCTAAAACATTAAAGAGAGGGCTAGTCCTTCTTACTCATCAAAATGGGTATTGATTCATTCACGCTTCTTACCTGCTCTGGACAACCCGATCAATAATTGAATCAATTCTCATATGGAATTACTGACAGGAATGTTACTGACAGGAATAGCCAGTGTGAGTCCCAATAACAGCGAACAATGATTCCCCTAAATGTGAAACAAATGAACAAATAAGTAGCTGAGTGACTGGGCTAAAAATAATCCTTTATTCACTTGTTCACTATTTTTCCAGCTCAGGTATTGATGGTGTCTTGTGACTGAGTAAGAGCGGCACTATCCATCCTCCTGGGTGTTGACTATTGCAGTGCTGTAATGGCCATGCAGATTACTGGGGGTTAGTTCAGAAACTGAACAAGCACCAGCAGGACCAGTCCATTAATTATAGATGGTTACCAGCAGCAAGGTGACTGTTCTGTTCAACTGCTGCTACTAAAAGCTACAGTTTAGTCTGTTACACTCGGGTTACATGGAGCAGCTGTTCAGCAGGCCTGAACAGGGAAATCATTTGGGGGTTGGGAGATGGTGCTTAAAAGAAAGAGTTCCAATTTTATTTATTTTATTTACAAAAGGTGGTATGATTTACTTTCTGGTAGTGATATTGATGGGTGGACATTAGCTGAGGTTTCATCTCCTGTGGTCAGGGTTGCACCAGTGAGCCTGAAGCTTGCCAGACAGACAAACGGTAGCAAATGGGGCCAGATAACAAAATCATTTGAAACCACAACGCAGCATTAGCATTCGATTTAACTATGCCTACATCATCTTCAGTGTCTTTGTGATGCTTGAATATCTTCTCAGAATTCGGAATATTGTGGAACAGTTGAAGAAAGAAAACCATTCCATGACTCAGAGAAATATTTGATACATATTGAGTAATTTTTTGTTTGACAATATTACTACTAACTAACTACTACTACTAATTATTACTTCTACTTCCAGTAAATAGCTTTAACCACTAACCTGTATGCTGGAAAATCTTCTCCTTAAACAGCAAGCAAATACAGAGAGGAGTTGAAAAGATGCAAATAAATCATTAATTTTACTGTATCTGCATTCTCCATAAATTAACCCATTAAGAGTGCACATTGCACAAGAAAGATATGACATCAGCTCATCACTTATTTCTTTGTACAGTTGTCCGCTCCAAGTGTATCTCGTTCTCCCAAAAGTCTACTTGAGTAATATTATAGGTATTTAATGTGCTTCAACATACAAATAGAGGTTTAGGTTTAGTGTACAGTTATTTGACAAAATCATGTAACTTTTGATAGCACATTTGATCTAATCCCTGACAGCAGACATGTTATACTTCAATCTGCATTTTACCAAATTATTCAGTTATACAACTTCTAACAGGGGCTTATATCTAGAAAAAAACTGTTTTAGGAATTCAGATTAAAAGACTTTATCCATCACTATGTGACACAATAAGCAGGTAATAGGCTTAATGAAATGACAGAGTTGTCATGCGATAAGCTTTGTAGCTGTAGATCTTCATAATGTCCACTCTCATATTCTGGATCTGAATCAGGCTCAGATAAGGATGAATTTGAAAAATAACATTTCCAATCAGTTTTGTTCTCTTTTATTTTACAGTTTGCTTTCACAACCACCTCACTTTTAGTAGGCGTTGCTCTCAAGTGCAGGGCATGGTGCCCCTCACAGGTTACCGGACGTTCTGCCAATCAGAAGAAAATGGGCTTTTAAGGCCTCAGCTTTTAAAAACGCCTGAGCTAATATTTTCTGTTTCAGACAGAGGCTCAACTTAGGGGCCTAACAGGCAGTTTGAGATAAATTAGGACTTTGTTTTTGCCCTTTAAACAATACAAAGCCACTCTAGAGGAGGCCGAAAATAAAAGTAAGAGATGACACTATATTAACATAATAGGTCTGCTTTAGCAACAATATCATTTCATCTTCCTATATAGCATTAGTTTCTGCTGCCCATTTTGTCGTTGTGTAGGAGAATGGGCCACAAGTGTGCTATTACAACAACACCTTAAATACTGGTAGATTTCTGACAGGGGTTAGGGGGCATTGCAAAGGTTAAGCACAATAATTCAGAGTGTAGATAGGAAATAGAAAAATGGAAAAGGGCAAGGGGAGGAGGAGCATGAAATGGAGGGAGAAGGATGAAAGCGATGAGCTGAGCTCCTTTCTTTCTGCTGGATTGCACATCGGGGAACCCATCCAGAACACCTGAGCAGGGCTTCCTAAGATACCCAGGTGGCTCCAGTGCAGAATGCCCCATTTTCACAGCTTATAGTCCGTTTCTCTCTCTCTCTCTCCGTGTCTGCCTTTATCCCTCCATTTTCCTCACTCCATTTTTCTGACTCCATATACTCATATGCACTGACACCCCCAGCCTCAGTGTTGCCCCTGAGCATTGATGCTGACTGATGCAGGCTGGGGATGCAGGGCACAGCTGGGCCTGATTGCAGCAGTTTATTTAATTAAAACATGAGAGGATCCCACTGGAGCGGTAGGGAAGACACACACTCTATTTATAGGTTTCAACACTGATGCAAACACACACACACACACACCTTTACGTCCGGGAAGAGCAAGGAGGAGAAGAAGCCAGGTGCCTCCCTTTGTCTATGGAGAGCATAGGCTCATACTTCCCTATGAATGGTATGTGTGAGTGGGTGGGTGTGTGTGAGTGGGTGGGTGTGTGTGTGGGTGGGTGTGTGTGTGAGGGTTAATGTATCATTCTCTAATACTGTACATATTTTGGCATGTACAGAGTATGTATGTAGGTGTGACCTTAAGACAGTTGACTGTTTTTCAGGTTTCACAACAATCACTCATCATTAGGAATGCAAAAGTCGGGAGGTAAAGAAGCTTTAAGGTATTGTCAATAGATCAAAATGTACAAAGGTGGGCTAAGGAGCTGCCCCCTTGCCTCACATGCTAACAGCAAGTTAAACGCTATAGTTGCTTAAATGCTATAATAACCACATAGCTCCTAATTAGACAGGTGGCATAGACATGACCTTACAGCTCCTATTTATTTTAATGAAACCTATATATGCCTCATCTACATGATCATAATTTACACAGAACTGTGGTGGGGAGTGCCAGTGAGTACATGTCTCAGAAGCAAATTATAGCCAATACCTTTGGTCGTAAGCACACTGCCTGCTCTTACAGCCAGGAAATAATTGTAGATCTGCAGTTGTCATGTGTATAGGTAGGGCCGCCTTACTTTGCCAGCAAACCATTATCCAGAAAAACCAAGGATAAACATATTTTGGTCCCTGGTCTGGCCCTGAGTTTCTTGCAGTATATTACAAATTTAAGAAACTGTCATTTAATTTTTTTTTCAGGATTCAGTCATTGAATGTTATCCGGTGATGCCTGGTCTCACTGTACGTTTTCAGCTCAGATGTATTATTTTGTTTGGTAATTTCCTACCCTGCTTCAAGGGAATAAATTGGGAGGACAAGCCAAAGGAGCATGTTTTTGATTTGCATGTGTGCCTATCTTTCCTAATGTACCTTGACATCACTTTTATTGCAGAGTTCTGTTATCTCTT